GATTTTAACAATTTAGGGGTTTCAAAGGCTTATTTAATCGATTTTAGAGTCTACTAATATGTAGAAAATACATATAATTTTTTCTCTCCGCCTCTGCAACACCCCCCCCCCCGGGCTACCCCGCTGGGGTCACCTCTGCCTGCTTCCATCAGAACCCTATAATGATGAACCTTAAATCTTTGATTAAATCTTTGATAGAATGGCCTGCAGAATTACAGTTTTCACTTAAGGAAAACCTTTTAGGTTATACTTGACAGATTTTGATTGATTCTCAAACGGAGTTTTGGCTAATCTCCGTCTCACCTACATGGTTACCTTTGTTACATATGGCACAATATATAATACCACAGTAGCTAGGTTCATTTGGGATTTATACCAAGATGAAGTAGCTGATCTAGTTGCTAAGTTAATTGAATTAAAATCATTAATTGCGTTCAATGGTTAGTATAAGTATAATATAAGCATGCAACTGTGACCATCCCATGACCAAGCAGGAGTCTGATTGGTCTATCCCTGGATTTTAGCCTCTCCCGCTGAATAACTTCCTGCCTTATCAAGCGACTCAGTCACTGGCAGTGGCGGACCGTAGTGTAAAGTGCTGGTTACTTTTTGTTGTTGTCATTGTATTGTAGGACCATATTGTAAAACAGCGGTAAGATCTCACCTGTATATGTTATCCTGCCTAAAGATATTTTAAATAAAATAAAATAAAATAATATATATATAATTTTTTTTTATAGCATTTGTATATATATAACATATATATAAAAATTATAATATATAATAATAATAATTATAATATAATTATATAATAATTATATATTATAATTTTTATTATTAAATATATAATTTATATATATGTATATATATATATATATATAAATATACATATGTTTTAGTTCATAGGGAATTAACTGAAGACGCACTGTTGTCCTGTGAATGTGTTAGAGATGTCAATCATATATCTATTTGTTATTGATTCATTACTTTTTACACATACAGATTTATTTATCTTAATGAGATATCATATATAGAAGATGGATCTTTTAGCGGAACCAGCCTCCAGACTATGTAAGTAAAATTGCACCCGTTAAAAGAAGAATATTGGTATCGTTATAATTTTACTTTGATTCGATAAACATCTGGCTGTCGATGCAATTACTTTATTAATTTCAACCTTGCTTTTGTAGCTATATCTACGGTAATAAATTAACGAAAATCACAAGTGAGATGTTTAACGTACAAATTGGATCACTTAAATATCTGTAAGTAAGAAGTAAATTGTAAGATTGAATAATAATAATGATGTTGATGATGATAATGATAAAAATAATAATAATAATAATAATAATAATAATAATAAAAATAATAATAATAACTAGACTTACTATGTCTGGTTGTACAACAGAACATAGGGCTTTTCCTCACTGTTATACAGAAATAAAGTTGAAATTGCAAGAAAAAAAAAAGTCGTTGAAAAGTACAAAGTAAAAAAAAAAAACATGGAAACCCAAAATACTTATAGTACTAATCAAATTATGGAGAAAAAAAATGAAACCCAAGTTCACACCTACCGCGAAATTTGTGGATTTGAACTATTGCTGCAGTGGTAATATTGAGGAAGGCCAACTTGGAGACTCATAACCATTGCGCAATATTATGAGCCGACCGTGTATAGGACAGTGCATTTTCCGTTCATAGTGATTCATTGAGTGAAAGCAAAAATTGTTCATGCATATCACAGTAGTTTTTAGTTTAACATAGCTGCAGCTGGTTTAAACGCTTTAAAAAAGGCAAATTGTGTTTATATAATGTAATCAACTGTCAAAAAAAAAAGAAACAATCTTTAAGTGGTCCTCACCTACTGCGTATCGTCACCAAAATTTGATCATTGACGAACTGGATCGTCCCCAACACATAATAATTTCTTCCTTGTATCCTGGTTAAACTTTCCCGAAAGTTGAATTCGGGTCATCCATACCCTATCCCGGATTGTCATAAAAATGTAATCATATCTTCTTGATAATTTGATTAAACTTTCCCAAAAGTTTCATTGAGATCAGTTGACTAGATTTTTTAATATCTGGTGTAGTGTGTTTGCCCTTAAATCCCTTTAATTTGTCATCACATCTACAACCCACTCTAGATTGACACTATTAGGAGGCACATACTTGATGTATGGTCTATTCTACGACAAAGTATGGAAAAGACCTAAGCATGGAAAGTGACCAAAGTGCCACCCGGAATAACCCAGTGCTAAAAGATAGGAAACGGATATGGATGAACAAAGAGGAAAAAATATTAGAACAAAAACAATGGCTTTTCCAGCTACTGCAGTCTATTCAATAAATTAAAAATCAGGAAAGGGTGATTTATTTAACTCAAACAATTATTTTTTTTTATCATGGCAATTTTGTGATCAACAATATCAAACGCTTAATAAAAAAAGTCGGTGAAAGTAAGGGTGCATACATTATTAGGGAGTTCAGAGTTCGCCATAATATAATGGTAGATGTCAATTAGACAATGGGTGGTGGAAATGCGTTTTTGGTTGCCAAGTCGACCGAATTAGCCACCAAAACAAACATCAAAACAAACCGCTAGGTGACAGTTTTTCCAAACAATAATAAGCCTTCGCTCAAATCAATTTTAACAGTTTTTAAACTCATTAAACTTATTTGTTTGTACATTTTATCGTAAGATAACTTATCGAAAAGCCTTGGTAAATATTCCTTTAATAAATGTCAGAATTTTGATTCGTTAGAATTAAAATGGTTTGGAATTTGAAATAAAGAGTTGAAAAACTTGAATATGTTTGCAAGGCCTCGTCGCGTGAAGACGGGCCTAGCCCTAGACTACAAACAACTTTCTTTCTTCTGACTCATTGGTGATCGTAGTCAAAAGAAACATCTTATTTTACAATTCATTTGTCCAATAGCTTAAATATTTTATAACAGAAATTGCAACAAAATTTAAGCTGAATGTGTACCTCTAAATCAACAACAAAACTCTTAATATTTTTAGTCTGAATGGAAATGTAAATCAAATCAGCCACTCATGAATCTCATACCCACTGGGCGAAACACTGATGACGTCATCTTTAGCGACTAACATACATATATTGGCCGTATTAAACTGGTCGTTCTTTGTTAAACCAGGCTCACCTGCGCAGTGGTAAAATCCTACTCAACGAAGACGACCAGTCGAATAGAAAACTTGCAAATACTCGACAAAACAAAATGGCTGTAAAGTTTAATACCACAATGCACGTTGCGTAATCAAGATTGCTTCAACTTGTGGTAGTATGGGTTTTTCGTAAAAAATATTTTCATCCAGTTTTTGAATTCTGTTAGCCTACAATTATTTTTTGACTCCATGTGAGTAAATATTATAATTGTTATTTTATGAAATTTAATCTAAGTTATATTAACACAAATGTTGTTTATAAACTCACCAATCGGCCATGTTTTTCTTGGTCACGTGGATAACTTAACGCTGATTAACGCACTCTGGTTTACGTTAACTTTCGTTGTCAACGAAGTCTACCGTACTCGCGCGATTAAGCGCCCCGTTTGGATAAGCGCCCCTCTCGAATAAGCGCGAACGTGAACATTTCCTTAAGCGCCTAATTTGAATAAACGCCCCCCAATAATCAAATCAATCCTGGGACTGTGGATGTTGGCATGATTTGAGTATGGAGATACATTCTCATTTAGTCAATATCAAAATTAGGATATCTAACTTGAACAGATGTCTAGCCTAGTCCTACTCCTTTTCCAACAATTTGCACCTTTAACACATTCTCATCTAAGTTTTCAAGAAAACCTGCAATGATCATGCCGTCCTGCTAATCTCAATCGGCCGATGGTCAACAAGCTAACCACCACCACTAATTTTCATCTGCTATTCTGTTGTTATGTAATATTGTACTCACAACATTCTTGTCATGACCTCCGCGACAGGTCAAAAAGTTTGAGGGAATAGTACTTTCTATTGCCCAGCTTCTTAACCAATCAGATGCCTACAATCTATGTATGATGTATATAATTCAGTCTATTGTCTCAAATGAATTGCGCCAAGGTCGGAAAATTTTAGTCACTTTATTACGTTCTGCTGTTTTAGAAACAGTAAAAGTGAGTGACATGGGTCTTAATTTATGTATTGTAGGGGAGGGGGAAGACCTTATGGACAGGTATGAAATTTGCTTTTGAGAGGGAACTTTTTTCTGGGTAAGAGAGGCATTAAGTTTGCTGAATTCATAGAATTCATTTTGAAGGTTTTTTTCATGGATTCCATCCGGACCTGAGTTGGCAATAGAAATGTTGTTTAGATCTTGGCATATTTCCCAAAGGTGAATTNNGCGCAAGGGAATGGCAAGAAGACTGGTACTATACAGGGTTTATGAGATATTGATTAGAAAAAAAAAAACTGACCATGGTTTTAATGGCATTGGCAGTGCTAATTTGATCCTCAGAATCAATTTTCGGGACAAGTATGGTGGTGGATGGGGAGGGGGAAGGGCTTATATTTGTTAAATTCGCCGCAAAGTTAACTCGGATCATCCGATTGTTCTTGATGTAAAACAGCTTTGACTATCTCAAAGCGTTCTGCAAATGATTGGACGGCCGGGTTTTTAAATCTGTAGTATCTTTCTGTTACAACGGAATGTATTATTGCAGCCAACTAATATGTAGACCCTCGACTGATAGCAAACGGCCGTGTAATTACGATTATGATCATATAATAATATAATTTAAAAAGATATATATATATAAACACGTTATATTTTCATTGCGGATTTTTTGGACTCAGTACGGACTCCAAAAGTATGCATTTTCTTTTAGTTTTATAGCGTATGCGGATTTTATAAGTCCGCAATGACAATATAAAGATGTGTATAAGAGACAGGTTTAAAGTCGGAGGCGGATTTTAAGGGAGACAGATATACACTTGTATAAAGAAATAATTATGGGTTCCAACACAGGGGTGCGTGGATTTTGAATTCCTCCAGAAGTCGAAACTTGTGAAATTCGAATATTGTTATAGTGACTGCATTAAGCTTTCAAAACAATCTGATAGTACTACGTTGAAAACAAACTGAATAAATATACTTGTACAATGCTTTTATTTAGTATCTGTATATAATTGAAGAAGAAATATGTGGTAGACACCATTAAAAATAATAACTGATGCCTAGTTGTTGTTGTCAAGTGCAAGTGGATTGAATAATTATTCATTCATTAAACAACATTTATTTCCGTAAATGTTAAACAATATTTATAGTCAACATTATTATAACAAGAATATATGTAAATAAATTAATAATATGAAAAACGATTCACTAGGATCTTTAATGGCAGATATAAATATCTTTTCACGTAGGATACTCACAGAAACAACATAATTTAATTAAAAATATTAAAAAGGCAAATTATACGCCATGCTTAAAATATTGGAACCACGCTTTAAAAAAATATTAATGCAAATGTAAGGTCAATAAACAGACTTAGCGTGTCACTTGCTGTACTAAAATAGTAATTGCTTGTATCCACCCTTTAGAATTGTGTGCACCACCCTTAAAATTTTGAGGACATTTTCTGATATTTCACCATTCTTCAAAATTCCTGGTGAAAGGGTTGCCATGGGGAACATAAGACAACGAAGAAGGTGAACACAGTTCCATAATAAAAATACTGTCCCTAAAGGTAAAATTTGACAATGTTAAGGAGAACCACAGACGACAAAAGAATTCCCCTTAAAATATGTTTTAAATGTAGTAGTAGTATCCGTCGACAAGCAATCAAGAAAAAACTAAACTGGAACAACTCTCTCGACACGAAATGTTTAGTGTATCATACAAACGTTTAAATACCTGCCTCTGACCACAAGCAATCAAGACAAGACTAGACAAGAACGACTCGCTCGACACGAAAATTTTAGCTGTATATACCTGTCCATAATTTTATTATTAGTTTATTTACAAACATTCAAATACCTCTGACCGCAAGCAATCAAGGAAAGACTAGACAAGAACAAACACGCGCGACACGAAAAGTTTAGTGTATTATACAAACGTTGAGACCGCTACACAACAGCCTTTGCTTTTAGATTTGAGCATGAAGGCAAGGCAAAAGCAGCTTTCTTAGCTACGTTTTTTGTCCGCTTATCGGTTAAAAAACGTATTTCATTTTTATTTTATCACTGAAAGCAACTACTGTAAAATGTTTAGCCCATAAATATGATGTGTGTGAAGAAAACATTAAACAATATTTTAATTTGGACCTTCAAAAAGCAGTTAAAATGAAATGGCTATGAATTAGGGGGGGGGGGGCTAAAGCCTGTTCAGCCCCCTCTAAATCCGCCCCTGATATGAATAGTGATGATTATGATGATAGTGATGAACATTGTATTGTGTAAAATAGGCCTGTCCATTTATGGAAATTCTTATGCATTCGCCAAGACAGTACACTTCAACTATTTATTAATTTTGAAAGAATTAATTATAAAAACAAGTAAAATATTTCAAACAATATCAATTGTTACAATTGCTGTCTTTAAATAGCTGTAGTTATATATTTAATACTATATTTACCATTTATTAATTTTGAAACAACTAATGATAAGAAATATTACTGTAATATTACCGTATTACTGTCTTATAGTTATATATTCAATAATCCTATTGAAGATATGGAGCATGGAGCATTGTCCCCTTTTGCACCAAACTCAACAGTGTAAGTATCGATCAACATATACTTTTAAAATAGGCATGTATAGTATTCTTTATTCGCACTGCACTTAAAAAAACAATAAACAACAAGAAACACAATCAAAAATTACGTACAGACATCTCACAAAATGTCATAAATAATCTATAATGCTACGCCATTGCCTCTTGTTGAAGTGATCTGTAAATTTATATTTATGAAAGTAAAAAAATGTAAGTAAAGGGCAAAATACTGAAAAACAACAATGCTGTGGGAAACAATGGCTGGATCTGATAGAAATACAAATTTTATAAGCAACAGCTAAAAGAAGCCCATCTAAGTGTCCCAAA